ACATGTATCATTTACATAAGAGTACATGTACATTTACATAAGAGTACAATGTTACATTTACATAAGAGTACATGTACATTTACATAAGAGTACATGTACATTTACATAAGAGTACATGTACATTTGCATAAGAGTACATGGTACATTTGCATAAGAGTACATGTATCATTTGCATAAGAGTACATGTATCATTTGCATAAGAGTACATGTACATTTACATAAGAGTACATGTACATTTACATAAGAGTACATGTACATTTACATAAGAGTACATGTACATTTACATAAGAGTACATGTACATTTACATAAGAGTACATGTACATTTACATAAGAGTACATGTACATTTACATAAGAGTACATGTACATTTACATAAGAGTACATGTACATTTACATAAGAGTACATGTATCATTTGCATAAGAGTACATGTATCATTTGCATAAGAGTACATGTATCATTTGCATAAAAGTACATGTACATTTACATAAGAGTACATGTATCATTTGCATAAGAGTACATGTACATAAGAGTACATGTACATAAGAGTACATGTACATAAGAGTACATGTACATTTACATAAGAGTACATGTACATTTACATAAGAGTACATGTACATTTACATAAGAGTACATGTACATTTACATAAGAGTACATGTACATTTACATAAGAGTACATGTACATTTACATAAGAGTACATGTACATTTACATAAGAGTACATGTACATTTACATAAGAGTACATGTACATAAGAGTACATTTACATAAGAGTACATGTACATTTGCATAAGAGTACATGGTACATTTGCATAAGAGTACATGGTACATTTGCATAAGAGTACATGGTACATTTGCATAAGAGTACATGTATCATTTGCATAAGAGTACATGTATCATTTGCATAAGAGTACATGTGCATTTGCATAAGAGTACATGTACATTTGCATAAGAGTACATGTAATTTGCATAAATTACATTCATCATTTACATAAGATCATATTCATTTGCATAATAGTACATGTAATTTGCATAAGAGTACATGTATCATTTGCATAAGAGTACATGTACATAAGAGTACATTTACATAAGAGTACATGTACATTTGCATAAGAGTACATGGTACATTTGCATAAGAGTACATGTATCATTTGCATAAGAGTACATGTAATTTGCATAAGAGTACATGCATCATTTGCATAAGAGTACATGTATCATTTGCATAAGAGTACATGTAATTTGCATAAATTACATTCATCATTTACATAAGATCATATTCATTTGCATAAGAGTACATGTATCATTTGCATAAGAGTACATGTACATTTACACAAGAGTACATGTACATTTACACAAGAGTACATGTACATTTGCATAAGAGTACATGTATCATTTGCATAAGAGTACATGTACATTTACATAAGAGTACATGTACATTTACATAAGAGTACATGTATATTTGCATAAATTACATTCATCATTTACATAAGATCATATTCATTTGCATATGTTCAAGTTTGATGGAAAACCTGCTTTAACAAAATCTATAAAAAATACAACTAATGAACGAATTTTTGTTACTTTTATTGTAACATACAAGCTTCAAATGACAATAAGTTCATGTTACTGGATTTTAACCAGCGTCAGTTTTTTGAAAGCACTTGAATTTTGAAGGCTACTCATCACCTTACACACAATAATTAGATGAAAAGTACATAAGACAATTAGTGCAAAGAAACACACAATTTAAAGACTTATTCAACATCCCTACTTCTAGTATAGACACCTATGCATAGTTTGAATACTGTAAAGGGGTTAATTATTCACTGGGTTTTAATTTAGCTTATTTCGCTGACTGGAAAAATGCGCTAAATTAAAACCCAGTGAATATGTAAAATTTAGCATAGAACACATTATCTAAATGACGAAACCGTGAATTTAAAACCAACTGAATATGCCCGAAATGGTAAATCAGTGAAATTTAAACCCAGTGAAAATTAGTCATTTTACAGTAATCCTTTTTTATGCAGAGCAGATCCAAATGATGATTAAAATACCACTTAATAATTTCTGAAATCTAAACTGGTTTCTTAAAGAATATATATCAATGAGCGTTGTAGAATTGATCCAGACGTACCTGTAGACAGATATTAATTTCTGTCATTTGATTGGCTTCATTTGCATTTGTGAGTATCATTTTTTTTTTTTTTACACGATTTTGAAATATGTGAAGGAGCTTCTATTTAAAAACCCTCTCACCAGTGCACTAGACAAATGTTGACATTTTCTATACAAGTGTCTTGTTTAAAATTGATGATAAAAATGAATTTGAGACAATGCACTCATGAGGCGTACTCTCTGCTCGGATTGAAAATGACACATAAACAAATACATGTGTGATATGCACAGACACACATTACCTAGATTGCAGCACATCACAAAATCTGCTTGACCACCCAAATCCACTTCTAATTGAATTTTGAGAAAATGTCAGTTTCCATCAAGTTGGCAATGAATGAATTAACAGTGGGTAACGGAGAATAAAGTATAAAAAACCTTGATTTCCCTATCAGTAATCACGACAACAGTGAAGTATTCTCAGGATTATCATTACTGATACTCTGGGATTCCACATTGATACTCGATCCTATTAGCCAAAAGCATAAATTCCTGGACACAACCATTTTTATGTGGGATACAGCTGGCAAAAACACGAGATATAGTCACCAGATGTTGCCCTGGATACATCCAAGTGTTTTATAAAACACCAGCAAATTTACACATCACAGTGCACAGCACATTATTAAACAAGATTGGCCGCTGCATGTGTGTGAAATAAAAATATGTGCGATTCTGTGAGTTGACGTCTCTGCAAAATTTATGAAATACTGTAGAATACTTTATTTTCGCTTGGAATTTATTTTCGCTATTTTCGCTGAAGGGATTATTCCGTGAAAATAAAATCCAGTGAATATATTTTTTTTCCTATATTTCACATTAAACTCATCAAAAATTAGTGAAAATAAATTCCATACAAAATGCCCAAAAAAGCCTTTTCAGCGAAAATTAATTCCAGCGAAAATAAAGTATTCCACAGTACATTTGATACTCGTTTCCACTGACTCTAGTAAGAGCAACGTTCTCTTATCAGTAGAATGTATCAGCAGATTAGATGTAATGCTATACGGGAAATTAGTCAAAATCAATTACTAAGATTGGGACTCGGTGGAGCACGGTCAAACTCAAGATGTTTATTCGAAGTCGCTTCAATATTCAAATTGATGTTCAATAAATCAACATCATCAATTTCCAAGAAATATTACAATATTACAATATTACAAGACAAACTGGTAAAGCAGTGTTCGTGAGATTCTTTTGTTTTTGCCCGTGAATTATGGTACAAATTACATATTCGCTGCTTTTTGTTTATAAATGCAAATTAATTTGTTGACCTTTTACTATTAAGTACATGTAATGGCTAAAATTAACAACATTCCAAATTTAAGTTGTGTATGTTCATATTTGAAATTAGAGGTGCCTGTACATAAATTGTACTAGTACTGCCGAGTACAGTATTTCCTCCATTAGAACTATAGTTCCAATAAAAGCGCCCTTGAAACAAACATTAAGTTTACATGCTGAACAAATTATTTTGAAACTAGATTCACCTCTATCATTTAAAGCATACGTGTTTTTTAATAGAGCAAATTTGACACATGTTTTATCCTTCTTCCATACAACTGCATATAATTACATGAGCAACTGAAAAGTACACTGCAGGAGTTCCTGGATTTAAAGTTGCATTTGATTTTTGAACGTTTGATTGTGTTCATTGGCTAGAGGTTTACATCTGACAGCATGATCGACTCTCCATGAAGCAAGCATTAAATGAACCTCATACATGACAGAAAAACAATGCCAGTAACAG